GGATCTGCTTCCTGCTCATCCCTCAGGAGTGGGTCTTGGTCTCCCTCAGACTGGGGCCCCCTGGGAATAGCACCTGTGTCTCCCACCTATTGGGAGTGTGTCCCCTGAGAACAGACTCTCCTCAGTCTTCTGAGCTACCGTTTCCCGCCAAGTACTGAGTCACCCCATCCTTAAACCAGGAAACACACCATTCCCCACTGGCACATGTCGCCCGAGGTCCTGCCCCTGCCCTGGGGCCCAGTGCAGAGAATGAAGCTCCGCGAGCTGGGACTCCGCAGTCCCAACAGGCAGGGCTGCTGTGGGACACAGACCAAGGCCAACAAGTAAAACGATACATGGTTGGACTTGTCCCGATGTGTGTCTGAAGGTAGAGACGTGTGAGTCTGGTGCTGGGCAGTGATGGGGATAATGAATTTTATTTGGAAGAGGTGATGATGGTGCCAAAGGTGTGTATCCTGACTGCAGACCAGGCTGACCCGTGGACAGACTGGGAGAGAGGGAAACGTAGGTGCATGCTGGGAGTTGTAGTGCAGCTAGGAAAGGTTGCCGCAGGAAGTTAAGGATCAAGTGTGTTTAGAAAACGGACATGCACCCTGGGACCTGTGGTCTGAGCTGGCAGAGGGTCTGACCTGGTGGTCCGGGTGTCCCGCAGGGCTGTGGTGATGTATTCCGACATGCGCTTCTCCATCAGTGCGACTCGGATCCATGCCCGGCCCTGGAAAGCATGCTCACCTTTACTGAAGGGACTGTGTGTGCGCCCTGGGTCTGGACCTGCGGCTGTTCTCCCCGTCATCCATGGCAGAGGTGAGGACCAAGGAGCAGGCAGTTCCCCGACACCCAGAGCTTGGAGAAGCTGCCTGGTCCTGCCCACTGCAAGCCGCTCACCTTGGCTCGGGCTGTGCTGATGTTCTCCATGTTCTCGATGCTGCTCACACAGTTGTTGGGCACTTTGTTGCAGGCCAGCCGGATATAGTCCCAGAAGCCCCGCTGCCCATCTGAGCTGAACCAGCTCACTGGACCTGCTGGGGCACAGGCTGAGCCAGGGCAGGGAGGGGGCTCAGCGGGACAAGGCAGTTTAGAGAGGACCCATGTAATGGGTCACACACATGCATAAGTGTAAGCCACGCACATACATAGTGCCTGCCCCAAACACGTGTGCACACACATGCATGTACACAAAGGGCACATCCCTATAACTGCATGTCCAGAAGACCCCTTCCCCTCTCCCTAACTCTGCACGAGTTTCTGTACATAGACCAGAATTGGGACCAGGGTCAGTGATGGGGTTCAGAAAGCCACAGGGTAGATCCGAGTGGAGTGGCTGGGAGCTAAAGGACGGGGGTGGGAGAGCTGGGCAATAAGCACCGGAACCTGGGCCCACCTTTGAAACGGTGGCTGAGGATCTGCTCTAAGATGGCTGCAAAATTCACAAACTCCTCGGATGAGTCATCGATGGGCTCTGCGGTGTACTTCTCCAGCAGTGTTTTCACAGAGAACCTGGGTGGAGGGTAGGGAGAAGGGGCAGGGGGGTGTCGGGTGAGAAGACAGGGTGATGGTGGCGGGGGAGGGGCATCAGGCAAAGAGGGACAAAGGGCAGTGAAGAGGTCATGAAGAGCACGGATGTAGCGGGTGGCAGAGGGAAAGGGTGGGAGACAGGTGAGAATAGAGCGACCATAGAGGTGCTGTGACATGGGCGTGCTAGGGCAGCAGGTGGGAGACTGATTGACAAAGTGGGTGACAGGAAGGGTGACAGCCAGAGAAAGGAAGCTTTGGGAACAAGGTATGAGAGGGGTGAAACAATAGGTAGCAAGTCCAGGCACCCAGAGCGGAGGCTGTCCCAGAGCCCCTCCTTGCCCACCCTTTGGAGTTGCATTCCCAAGTACGTGTTGGGGGTCAGCTAGGAGATAGAGCTGGTTTGTATCCCTGCACTGAGCTGTCTTCTGCTTTTGCTGGAATAACCTTCAGTACCTTCTGGAGTGGGGGAGTCGCCTGTGCCAGGGCTGTGAGTTGGCACTGAAAACATGGGGTGTGGGTATGCATGGTGACCAGGTGGGCTCTCAGCACACCAAGGCCCCCTCCCCCCCCGCCCCGTCCCCTTTCCTTCCCAGCTTAGCCGCCCACACACCAGCTGCCCAGAACTGGGAGGTGCAGAGCTGGGCTGGGGGAGGTGCAGGGTGTGGGCTCAGCACACCAGCTGGGTGGGAGGGAGCAGTGGCTGCAGGTCTGTGGAAGGGGCCTTGGGGGTCAGAGAAGGAGGGAGTCAGGGAAGCCAATGGAGCTGAGGGACTGGAGCCCAGCAGCGCCATCCCCCTCTGCAGTCCTGCTTAAAGCCTCAGCTCCCTCTGCATTCCCTACTCCTAACCCCTGCATCTCCACCTGCCTTGCTGCAATGTGTGGGGCAGGGCTGAGGGCACGGGTCCCAACATCCCATATTGCCCTGTTGTGGGGGGCAGAGCAGATACAGGGGCTGCTGGAAACTGCCCTTCCCCCCTAAGCTTATCACGCCCTGTAATTGGCCAAGCACTGTACTTTGCAGTATCATCTCATCCATCCCTACAACAGTCCTGGGAAGTAGTTCCCCTTATCATCAACCTCATCCCCAGTTCACATAGAACAGTGATGGCGAACCTATGACACGCGTGTCAGAGGTGACACTCGTGTCAGAGGTGACACGCGAACTCATTTTTTTGGTTGATTTTTCTTTGTTAAATGGCATTTAAATATATAAAATAAATATCAAAAATATAAGTCTTTGTTTTACTATGGTTGCAAATATCAAAAAATTTCTATAGGTGACACAGCACCAGAGTTAAGTTAGGGTTTTTCAAAATGCTGACACGCCGAGCTCAAAAGGTTCGCCATCACTGACCTAGAAGGTAACTGAGGGTCCAAGTGGTCGATGGATCTGTTCAGAGTCACATCACACAGCTTCTGAGGACTCAAGTAAGTATGTCTGATTCCAAAGCCCTTGCTCCCTCTGCTATATCTCGGTCCCCTGGTGGCTGTCAAGTTCCCAAGGACCTGAGCAGCCCCTGCCTGCTCTGCCCTCTGTCCTCCACTCTGTGCCCCAGCCCTCGGGCACTGGCCTCCTTGGCTCTCAGGCCAATGGCACAGCTGGGTCCATGGACCTTCCTTCCTTCCTTTTGGACTTAGAGCTGGTCTGGCTTGAGCTCAGAGCCAGGTCTGTGTTGGGGTTGCACTAGGGGAAGGCAGCCTGGTGGACTCCAGTCCTGTTTCCTGGTGATACCCACGTGGCTTTGGACAAGTCATTTCCTCCCGCAGAGGCCCATCGTCTCAGGTGCAAACAGGAACGGTATGACCTGCCTCATTAAATGTTGGTTCAGATCCCAGACGGGCCTAGAAGAAGGTGAGTGTGTGTGATCCTGAGGTGCGGAGAGGCTGGGCCTTAATGGGAAGGTCGGGCCTGCCAGGAGGAGCCTGTGTCAGGGTGTTCTCTGGGCTTCATTATGCAGCCCCCACACCCTGCTGATTTCTGATCATCTGGGTCAGACCACAGTGGGGGCCTGGGGCTGGCTTCAGCATCGCTGCATCTGTCCTCAGGGGTGCTGCAGAGATGGCCATTGCCCCCGGGAGCTCCATGGGGTGCTCCCTGTTCGGAGGTGCAGTGGCTGCTGCAGGTTGCCATGGAGACAGGGAGGCCAGGGCCCAGGGGAGACCTCAGCTTGCTAAAGGGACCTGTTCTGGGAGCTGGAGGCAAACCATGTGACAGTGATGAGGCAGCCGAGGCCCGAGGGGTTTCTTAGCCTTTGTCATGCCCCTGATTCTCCCCAAACTCTCTCTCTCACACCAGCAGCTCTTAGCCCACTTTCAACCCACCAGAACCTCTGCTCTGCAGCCTAGACCAAGGGGAGTTCCCGCTCCCCCACACACTCAAGAGGCCCAGCTGTCCTGGCTGGCAAGAGAAAGAAGAGGTAGGAGGGAGGAGTGGGACAGGAAGGGTGTCATCAGGACAGGGCTGCTGTGTGCCAGGCACTGGGCTAGACTCCTACAGGGATTGTGTCATTACCGTTCCTTGACATGGCTGCTACATCTATAATGGGGGTGCTGAGGCACCCAAGACCCGAATGAGTAGAAGATTTCACCACAGTTGCACAGCTAATAACTGATGGAGCAAGAGCTTGAACCTAGGACCATCTGGCCCCAAAGGCAGAAATCCTGGTTTGACACCACACTGGCAGAAGTTGAAATCCTGGTTTGACACCACAGTGGCAGAAGTTGAGGTGTGAGGGAGGAGGCAGAGGTCTACACTTTGTACTCATCCCTTCTATAACACGTCAGGCATCTTTAAGAGGCCTGATGTGCACGGCACTGTGCCAGGCACTAGGGATCTAGTGGTGTGAGACAGGCGCAGTGTGGCTGGGTGTGTGCCCAGGAACCTGGAAGGAGCTACAGGACACAGTAGCCAGGGCATCAGGTGGGCACTGACTCTTGTGTACGGGCAGGTGGAGCTGGCAAGGAAAACAGCTGAGATGTGCACTGGAAGCCCTCAGAGGTGGCATGGGGGTGGGGGGAGCAGGGAGACTGCAGGTGACGGCAGCTGGCATGGGGATCCGAGAAGGAGAGATGAGTACAGTGAGGGCTGAGGTGGAGGCTGAGCTAATGGCCATGCCTGGCTTCAGAGCAGCCCAGGGAGGGTGAGTCCCTGCAGGCTGCAGTGGGAGGTTCACTTCCTGGGCCCCAAGAAAGGGGGGCGGGTCTTCTCACCACTGCAACAGCCCACCCTCAGGGACCAATGGGCCTGCCCTCCCAACCTCCTCGCCTTGAACCAAGGAGGCCCAGGTTTCTGCGGCCAGGCCCTCGGTCCTTCCCATAGCAAGGGCAGCACCCCCCGCCCTTCACTGGATGAGCTCAGGGTCTTCGCCCACAGGCCCTGTTGACTCTGCCACAGGTCGGAGCTGCCCAGAGAAGGAGGACATCATTTCTGCTTCAGGATTGAGCACTGGAAACCCTCCCAGAAAAGCCCGCTCCAGAGAGGCCAGGCTATTGGTGGGAATGCGGGGATGCCTGGAGGGCAGCGATCGCCTATCCTGCCGCCCTGTCCTCAGCAGGGGAGCCAACCACCACCCTCCCCCTCGCACGGTGTCACTTCCTGGTTCTCACAGGAAGCTGCAGCACCAATTAAACACCCCCCACCCTCCGGGCCTCGGGCTGGGCAAGGCCTGGCTCGGCCTAGAAGGGTAGGAACCAGGCCTCCAAACCCACTCCCGGTCTGGGCCTCAGAGGACGGTGGACGCGCTCCTCTGAACCCTGTGCCACCTTCCTTGTCTCCGCGGCTGCTGTGCATCCTCCCGCAGGCAGCTCACCCCGGTTTCCAGAACCGGCCTGACCCCGCTCCCCGCCCGCGCCCCCCGCCCGCCGGCGGGGGCCACCTGCACACGGTGATCAGGTTCCTACGCTCCACGGCCACGTTGCGCGAAGACGCTTTCTTGGAGGACAGCCCCAGAGCCATGGTGGTCAGGACAAAGCTCGCTTCCATCCAGATGTGCAGCCCCTGCTGCCGCTGCCAGCTGCCCCTTACCCCGCCCGGCACCCCGGCCACCCCGCCGGATCACGGCTGGGCCTTCTGCCCATCGGGGCCCCTCGACCCCTCTACGGCCATCCCCCTGCTACTGCGCGGGTGCCGGCCCCTAGGCTCCCTCCCCAGGCGGCGATTGGGAGCAAAACAAGGCCGGGGAGGGAGCTCTCCGAGGTGCTGAGCCGGGGCCCGTCACCCCCTCCTCTAGCCGTCTGCCCCCCCTGCCGGTGACGTCACGGCCCTTGGACTCCGCCCCCCGGCAGGCCAGGGACCAATCCGCAGAGGAAGCAGGATTTCGTGGGGGAGGGGAGAGGACCAGGACCTGCGGGAGGGCGGAGGGGGTCCCTGGAAGAGGCAGCGATTGGAAGGAGTAAGAGGGGGTATCTGGCCTGTCCCCCACCCCCATATCCAGAGCCCGGGACCCCTCGTCTTACGTCTCTGAGCTTCAGCTCCTCTACTCCCCAGTGTCTGACCTGTGGTCAGCGGTGTCGATCTCAGATTTCACCCTGGGTAATGGAGGTCCTCACCTGCTGCACCCTCATCCCAGCACCCCCCTTCCCTTCAGTATCTTAACAAGACCTGGGCCAGGTCTGGGTGCAGAGAGCGCAGGCCCCGCACCGCTGACTCAGGAGGCCAAGGAGCAGTCAGAGAGACTACGCATCTGTCGGAGTCCAGGCTCCACTTGGCTGAGCCAGCCCGCGGAGCCCACTGCTCCCGGGGTGGGGGATGGGAGTTCACCATCAGCCGCAGGCGCCCAGAGCTCAGGGCTGAGTGGAGAGGAGACTGACAGCTGGGGGCCTGGGGTTTGTGGGGATTCCCAGCAATCCAGCTGGTGCCCACAGTAGTCTCAAGACAACTGGAGGGGTGCAGCCACAGCACTGCTTCCCCTCGCACCACCCTAGGGGCATCTGGCTTTCGGTTAACCTCTTGGCTGCCAACACTGTTGCATGGTGCCATCAACCCTCTCTGCAACGCTGAGAAGGTCCCCGAAAAGCTGGCTGCATCTTTTTCAGGAAGGCGAGGGAGATGGAGGCACAGCCTGGCTTTCCGCTGCCCTTTACCTCCCAGTTGTTCTCTTACATCCCTCCTCCCACCTGCGTCATTCCCCACCTCAACCTGTTCTTTTTCACCCACTGAGTCTCCAGCTTCCGCAGAAAGCCTTTCTGTGTTGATTAAAGGGGTTCACCCAACTTCCCCATCTGGCCTCAGGAAGGTCCGTCCCAGGGTTCAGCTCATATGTGTGCACCAACTCTACCTAATTACTGGATTTATTCTACTCTGCTAATCGATGATCAACATCTCCGCATTGATTGAGATGTGCACCCACATCTGAATATGACCAGCAAGCAGGCGTCTTCTGTCAGCACCAACAGGAGGAGGAGGTGAGGAGTTCCCAGTGCTGATCGGGCTCCCTTGGGGCTGGGAGAAGGTCCTGACTGCTGGCTCAGATCTGATGTTCACTCAGCCTCAATTCTTGGCTTCTGGGACCTTAGACTTGGTCTTTTCTGTCCCTCTTTTGTCTTTTCCCTCTGGCCTCATCTCTAGAAGCTCTTCCCAGCATCCTCCTGCCTTCAGACTCATAGCCGTTGGCAATAATGATGTTCTTTTGCTTTTCAATTCAAGATATATATTATGCACAAAAGAGCATACAAAACACTAATGTGCAGTTTAAAGAATATTGACAGCCCGACCCGTTGTGGCTCAGCAGTTGAGCGTAGGTCTATGAACCAGGAGGTCACGGTTCGAATCCTGGCTAGAGCACATGCCCAAGTTGTGGGCTGGATCCCCATTGTGGGGTGTGCAGGAGGCAGCCAATCAATGATCCTCTCTCATCATTGATCTTGCTCTTTGAAATATATAAAAAATATTAATAAAATAAAGTGGAGATACAGTCTCTCCAGTAACAGTAGTCAGTCATCTCTGGGTGATGTTAATACCTCTCCTACTAGTAGTTCAGCCACATTTCCTCTAAGGATTCTGTAAACATAAAGACTAAATTATAGAGTTTACTACCAACAAAATTCCTTACATAAAATAATAAGGGAAAGAAAGGGTGGGGAAATTAATATATAGAGTATATGGTACAAAACAAGCAAGAAAGAAAATACACATAGCTTCTGCAATAATTATTTCTGAAACTTGTCAGAAGTTGATATTTATAACTTTCCTCTTCCATTACTCATTTTATTTTCACTTTGTCCTAAAAGGGCACTTCAGTTTGTTTTTTAACCAGGCCAGGTGACCAAACCTTCATTCTTTTTTCTTTTTTTTTTTTAGAGAGAGAGAGTAGAAAGGAAGGAGGGAGGGAGGGAGAGAGAAACATCGATATGAGAGAGACACATCAATTGGTTGCCTCCTGCATGCACCCTAACCAGGGTTGGGGATTGAACCTGCCACCCAGACATGTGCCCTTGATCAGGAACCAAACCCACGACCCTCTAGTGCGTGGGTCAATGCTCCAACCACTGACCCACACCAGCCAGGGCCAAACCTTCATTTTAGAAGACTCTAAGTCCTCAGAATTGAATTGTTACCATTTTTCTTTAACTTTTACTATAGGACATGGAAGCAGGAAGAGGCACATTGGGGAATTCCACGGGTCCCAGACATAGTGCTCCCTAACTTCATTGTGTAGCACCCAGTTTGTCCTTGGTATTTGAGTTCAGCCACCCCAGATGGTAACCTCCTTCTTTGTTGATAGTAGCAGAAGCTGCTATGGAACTGGGCTTCCTTGAGTCTGTGAGTATGACAGGAGCTCAGAATGAGGCCAGGTTACAGTACTTAGTCTTCAGAGTCAAGGTGGACATAATTACTGTAATGGGCACAAGGACCAAATGGCAAGCTGGGAATGCAGTGTGATGGCCAATAGACCATGGTCTTTCTAGGTAGGTGGACAGCCAATGATGGCATTTCATGACTTACATAGCCAAAAGTGAGCAAGAAGGAGTTAGCAGGAGGCTGATGTCACCCACTGCAAAGGAAAATCACGATCCCTCCCCAATTTCCAACTCAAAGCATTTTTGGCTGCAGAGCCCATTGATCAAAGGGGAGGCCAGTTTCCTTCAGGAAAAATCTTGCAGTGCCACAGAAGTTTATATCATAACTAGAGGCCCGATGCACAAAATTTGTGCAAGGGGCTCAGCCCTCGCAGCCGCAGCTTCGTCCGGAAGGTCATCCAGACGGTTGTTCTGCTGTTCGGTCTAATTAGCATATTAGCCCCTAATTATATAGGATAATTATCTCACTCTTCTCCCAAAGGTACTCAGCCATTTATCTGAGCAACTGTACCCTGAGGAAAAGGGAATACTCAGATCTTTCAAGACTTTGGATACAGGGTCTGAGCTGACTCTGATTCTAGGGGACCAAAATGCCATTAAGAACATATATGGCCAAAACCGGTTTGGCTCAGTGGATAGAGCGTCGGCCTGCGGACTGAAGGGTCCCGGGTTCGATTCCGGTCAAGGGCATGTACCTGGGTTGCGGGCACATCCCCAGTAGGAGATGTGCAGGAGGCAGCTGATCGATGTTTCTCTCTCATCGATGTTTCTAACTCTCTATCTCTCTCTCTGAGCTTGTTAGCGTTTCAGAGACATGTTTTTATGTATTGTGTTAACCCCCTTCCATCTCTTTCCTTTGGAATGTAGCACCCCGTCCACTGCTAAAATTAGACTGTACATCGCAACCTATCCACCCAGGGGAGATACTCTTCCTTGAGCTACTTTGAGTCTCCTTGTCCTATTTCTTACCACATGGACTGCTACTTCCTCTCTGTAAAAAAAATAAAAATAAAAAAAAAAGAACACATATGAATTCTGATTGGCTGGTGGGTGTAGCGAAGGTACAGTCAATTAACATCTTTGTCTTTCATTAGTGTAGATGTTCTTGAGGAGCTCTTTTTCTACTTGGTATTCCACTTCGCTTTGGCCATTGAGAACTGCATGTGATGTATTTCCTCATCCTCTTACGTTTACCTCTTAGTATGCACACTTCAGCAAACATTTATCGCACACCTACTATGTGCCATGTCCTGTGCAAATCATACAAGAACTACATGCATATGCATATTTATAGACTACTAGGTTGGTATATAAGTGGAGGGAATGAAGAGAAAAAATGAAACTCAAAATTAGAGTTTATGGGATTGGAACAGTAGCATTTGAATATAAGCAAGGAGTGACAGGCTCTGATTTGGGGTTTTAAAAAGTTGTCGGTTACCGGGAAGTGAATGGATGGCTCCTTGGTGACTGGCCAGATAAGGTGGAAGGTTTTCAGTCACTCCCAGGTTTATGGCTTGAGCAATGGGTGGACCGGGGTGTCACTGGCTGAGATAAGAGCACCTTGGAAGAGGGCCAAGTTACAAGAGTCTGCAGAGTGGAGAGAGGAGATAGCTCAGAAAAGACAAACTTAGGGGAGCACCAACATGGCCAGAAGCGATAGGCGAAAGATGAGCCAGCCAAGAAGATAGAAAAGAAACCATTAGAGAGTTAGGAGGGGAACTGAGAGCAGACATTTCCAAGAAGGGAGAGGCTGCTGCCTGTGTGAAATCCAACAGAGAAGTCCAGCTGAGGAGCTGGGGAGTGTCCAGTAGATTTGGCAACGACTACGCTGTTAGTGGAAGGGGAGGTGGGGCAAAGCCAGGCTGCCTTGAGTAGAGGAGGGAAGGGGAGGGAGAAAGAGGAGAGAGCACTTTTCATTGAGGAGCTGAGCTGTGGGGAGAGCAGAGCGATTGCTATAAGGCTTAGGGAAGGCTGGTTATTTTAATGGGGTAGGCTTGTGCTCATCAGAGCAGTAGGGAAAAAGCGAGAAGAGGGAGAGGGTTGTGGGAAGACTGGAGGAGGAGGAGCGGAAGTGGTGTATGGTGTTGGTGGGGGCAGGGTGCGCAAGAGAGGCAGGAGTCACACTGAACAGCCTGGGCCCCCTGGAGGACGGGTGGCGTCACTACAGACAAGTTTACAGGAGTTGGGGGAGGAGAGGAGATTTATTAAAATTTTCAGTCCAAGTGCCTTTTCTGTTAGAGAAAAATCCTCTCCTACCTGAAGTTGGTTTCATGTTCAGTTTATTAAGCTTCTGAATCTATTGAATAAGTGCTATTACTTTAAACAATCAACCTCTCTCTGATACTCACCCAAGTGTGGACAAAAGGCGCCACATGCTGACCTGACAAGCTCAGGGGAGGCCTGCATGGCCGTCTAGCAAACTCAGAGACCTAAGGTCACCACAAAGGGT